CCAGCTGAGTGCACGTCTCAGGGCTCAGACGGTGGCCCTGTAGAATAGTATCAATGGTATATCAGCTTACCCTAATGACCGACAAAGGACGTCACAGAAAATGTATGCTCGTAAACAGAGCCAAGCAGGCGGATTAAGCCGTTCTTCCTGGCATGACGTTGTTGAATAAGTGTTAAAAGCTCACGCTTCCTCAGCATCTCACCGTCAAACAGGCAGTCACTTCTTGCTCGCACGTGCATGATCGTTTTGTACAGTGGTCGGCGTTCTTTTTGCATGCCACGCGATTAGCACGCGACCATTGCGAGCTAGTTGGCTCACAATGGTCTCGTCCGCAGCTACATGGTAACTTTGGGCGCTATCACACAGGCTGATCTCGATGCCGCCGGGTGACGTCATGCCAACCGCCTTGTTTCCGGGATGTGTTCCCGAACCGCGGCGCCCGTTGTGGCGGTGATCTGTCCCAGTCTGCGGCCGCTTCGCGGCGGGTAGCAGGAGGGGATCGGCTCGGCGTGGCGTGTCTCCCGGCTTAGCTTCCGTCGGAAGTGGCCTTATTTCCCGGATACGATCGTGTTATTTTCGCTGACTTGTGGCGGAGAGTCCTAAGCGCCTGCCACCGGACTTTGATGCCCCACTCCACGCCCAGAGTCGTTTATTCCGTGTGTCCCAACTCTGCTGTCAGCCTTTCTGTCTTTCTGCCATTTTCTTTTCTGTCAGCATGCCAGCCTTTCTATTGTGGTCTAGACAAGTGCTGCCATCAGTGGACGCCGGAGCTTGTTTGTCTTTCCTGCCATCCCGCTCTGAACCGGACTGGCCACTGGCACGACTCCCGTTGCCTTCTCATAGGGCCAACGTCGTGGCGCGTTTCGTGCGGCGCGGTTGGTGTGCTGTTTGTTCAGAGCGAACGCGCGTCGCGTCGTTAGTGGCCGGGTCACGTCATGGCCGGTCATGGCCGGGTCGCGGTCACGACTGCGGCCGCCTCTGAACTCCCTCTTCTTTTGGGATAGCCAGGTCGACGAGCGATCAGGCTTGAACTTATTGCCTGCCCTCTGCGACTCTGCATGCGTTGGAGCCGTGTTTTCCTTCGGAGGGGACCTGGGCTTCCCATTGCCTGTATCAGCCCCTCAAAATTTGACGAAATCCAACAAAATCCGTCAGCAGGCGCTAAAAAGGAAGAGTTTTTTAGGCAAAGCTGGTCCCTCGTCCCCCCCCCCCCCCCCAGCTAAGCTGTAGTTCCCGCATGCGGCGATGTGCGCATGATGTGTCACATATAGATGGAAGACGTTCTTTGAAATGGAATGCATGCTTTTGGCATATTTAGTAAAATGTGCAGTTGAACTGCGGCCTACACTTTGACTGCATGCGCATCGAAAGTAATTCAGGAAACCATAATCATTTAAGCACCGATGCCAAAAGAGTGGAGTGTGCAGCGATATTCAGGTAAGTTGGTAACTGTGTAAACAGCGCAGGCAAAACCGACAGATGAGATTATTTGGTTGCGCGGATATGATACGCATAGTTCCTCCACAGCAGCGAAATACGTCGAATTCATTTGTTATTTTAAAACGATCTCCGAGCTTATGTGAACGTCGGGATCGGTGCTAAAAAATCATTTCTTGGGACCTTGGAAACACAAGGGGTGCAGTATGATCCCTTTATGACGAGCATCCTTGATGCAGGGTGAGATGCTCGTCTCCCATTCGTCTGCTCCGCTGGGCACGTGCGCACTCGATTGCCCCGCATGCACTGAGTCGGTCTGCTGGCCCGGTGCCCGGGCGAGCGCCGTTTAGGCTGGTCTGTTGTGTCAGCAGACAGGGCCAAGGTAGTTCGTCGGGATTTAGCAGCGGTCAGAAAATGCTTCCATTTCCACGCAATTTATGCGCTTCCAGAGCTTATGTCACAACATGCCTGTCAGCGGACGCAACTGCATCATGCATGTCAAAACATACATCAATCAGTAAATAGCATACTACAAATAGGAATGCATCAAGATGACGAAAGTTTGTGGTATTTGCTGAATGATGAACTGGGGAAGAAAGTACAGGAAGAACATTTTGCCTCGGAAGAACGTTGAGCATTGGAGCCCGCAACATGCCTCGAACAGTCAATATTGATTTTCAGAAATGACTTTGTTTTCGAGGCAAGGAGATGCATGTGTCTTCTGGGACCAAAAAGAGGTGCGTAGCCTTCACACTGCAAGCTACGAAGCAGATTTGTGACATATATATATATATATATATATATATATATATATATATATATACATACATACATATGTATAGATAAAGACCACTGCATTGCTCCCTCTGAAGCACAATAAATACATATGGCCGTGGGTAATGGTGAGAAGTCGTTCGAATACGTTTGGCTCAGATTTCGGTGCAAGTGTGTTCGTGGTGTGCAGGTGAATGTAAGGCGCATGCATGCTTCAACGTAGAATGAAAGCATCACCCAGAATAGCCCACGGCCGTCTTTGCGGATAGATACTACTCCTGTATCAGATGTTTGGCATGGATGCGACCGGAGCGCGACGGTGAACTTTTCAATGCCTAATATGGCAAGCATGTCAGTGCAAAAACTATACATTAACTTTCTGTTCAGAAAAGTTATTTATAATCCGGATGGCTTCCAAGGGATACTTAGACTGTATGCGATGCAAAGTAGTGCTTGGGTTTGCATAAATGACTGATTATTCGACTAAGGCCTATCCGGCTCATAAGCAGCCTCCATCCTTTTTAGCTATATACATGGCGTGCGTGAGCTTCTAGGCATTATTTAACTCAAAAACGATTTTCTCATATGTGCCCAACGTCATCAAAGGAATACGCCCTTTCTCTGGAGCTGGGAATCGTAGATGACTGCAACGCCATGAACATCTGCGAGTGTTTTCTCCCAAAACGAAACCAGAAACAATTTTGGAGTAAGCTGGAACTCTGAATGCGATCAGTTACAGCGCGAAGACAACTTCAAGGCAAGAAAATAGGTTAAAGTGCTGTTTCGTGCCAACCTGTCTGGGGGTGGTGTGACCTCCGTTTCCTGTTCGTCAGCTGGGTACACCGTTGTATGATAACTAACTCTTGAGTTTGAAAATATTATATTAAAGTTGAGGAAAGTTGTCAAAATCTGAGGCGAAACCAAGTTTTTGAGGAAGGTCATGTCAGACGCCACGAGCTGCCCCCTCCCCCAACCAGTTTGGCAAAGTGACTACTGACGCCTAGAGCCACCCCCGGTGAATGCAGGGCAACACAGTCCTGGCAGAGCATGTCGAATGGACAATCAGGAAAACCGGAGGTGTTGAAGTGCTTCAGGTAACATGAAGTGGTGGTGAGATCAGTAAACCAGGAGAGCCAAACCGGCCAGCCGCAGCTAAATGGCTTGCACGGCATTGAGCTTACTGAGAAACGCTCGTGAGTTAGGTATGTGGGCCGTTGAAGCATAATGGTTTGATTCATTTTGTAGCTTGTTTCCGTCTGAATTTTTTTCTTTGCGCGGCAGTTACCTTACAAGGTCTTGGGCTCGACCTGGTCCCCGGAGGAAGCGACTGGCATGTGGCGGGACCTTCAGTTCGGCGGAGTTCAGTCCGTGACGTGGCGACTGAAGACAAAGCTCGAAAGTGGCTTTTTCTCGGGTATTCTGGATGTATTGTGGTTGAATGGCTGCTCTTCTTATCATTCCTTTGATAATCTGCAGAGAAAATGAAAAGCTGTGTTGATGGACCAGCTTGCTTAACTCGCTTCGGCACGGGGTTGATGCAACATCCGGATTCGTGGAGGCACCACGCGTTGTTAAGTAATTATACCACGAAGCTCACTGATGCTGGTGGGCTTCGCTTACGTTAGTCATGGTTAAAGCACCACAAGATTGTATTTTGATACCTACCCATTCTCATGTGGCCGGTACATTCGCTAAATACGATAGTTAACCATGTAACATGGTGGGTGAGACGTGTCCATGATGGTGAAAGGGTCTCCTGAAGATTAAGGTTTGGATAGGTCACGTACAAAGTATTGCTTAAGTGGTAGTAACCCGAACGTCTGCGTAGTAGCGAGCTCCCGCTTTTGTCCTTAACCTATGTGGTGCTGCTTAGTAGTATGTTGAGTATTGCTAGGTAGTTATAAGTTTGAGGTGCCCTCCCGTAGTGCTGTTAGTAGACCATTTACAGCGAACTTATGTTTCTGTCACATATTAAGATCGCGCGTGAAAGACACCAAGTAAGGTCACAGAAGACCATAGAATGATGTCAGGTAAACTCACCTTACCCCTGGAGGCAAGCTGTGTCATGCCCTGACTTGTGTACACATTAACTTACGTGCATGGAAAGCTGGAACGATGGCAAATGACAGAGACGGCAAGGGCGTGCGTGGACCTAGTTTGAGCAAACCTGGCACGTCAAGCTGAAGAATCCGCCCGATAGCTCAGTTGTTTAGAGCGCCTGCCCTCCGATCCACTCACCCGTGGCGGGGTGGGTTCGGATCCACTCACCCGTGGCGGGGTGGGTTCGGATCGCTTTCGCGCTTGCTATTCGTCCTTGCCAGGTATGGCCTGCGGCTGGTGGCAACGACCGCACTAAAGGTCAGGTGACGCCAGACGGCGGGACGGGCCGTGTATAGCATCGCGGCATGCTACACTTTCGCTGCCAAATTCTGCCGTTGACCCGGAATTGCACGATCGGATGGTGGGGGTGAGGGCTCACATAACAAGCACTGCGTGGCGGCAGCTCTGATCCCAGAAACCCGTTCATTCAAAATGGTTCGGAATGAATCTTGAATGGCTCACCGTGGAATGTCAGGATAATATCGGTAGATCACGCAATGATTCGTCTTTTTTGTGGCCTGTGCGGGTGATGTCGAACAGCTAACGGCGTTTTCACTTTGAGACCCGTTGCCTTTAGTGGTGGCACTCGGCTCTGGTGCCGGGCCGCCTGTCGTGGGTGGCCCTGGACGCCCGCCGCCCGTCAGTGTCCTCCGCTCGCTCCGTTACGACCCGGTCTTACTCCCGCGCAGCACATCGGCGTGGTGGCGGCGTACCTGTACGACTCGGTGATCATGTACGTGGAGGCGCTGCACCGCACGATAAGCGACTACCCGAGCGTGCCGCTGAGCCAGATCATACACAACGGCTCCCAGATCATCGCTCGCATCCGCAACCAGACGTTCACGAGTGAGTGTGAGCCGCCGTCTGAACAGCGAGGGAGTGTGAGCCGGCGCCTGAACAGCGAGTGAGTGTGAGCCGCCGTCTAAACAGCGAGCATCGCAACCAGACGTTCACGAGTGAGTGTGAGCCGGCGTCTGAACAGCGAGTAAGTATGAGCCGCCGTGTAAACAGCGAGCACCGCAACCAGACGTTCACGAGTGAGTGTGAGCCGGCGTCTGAACAGCGAGTGAGTGTGAGCCGCCGTCTAAGCAGCGAGTAAGTATGAGCCGCCGTGTAAACAGCGAGCACCGCAACCAGACGTTCACGAGTGAGTGTGAGCCGGCGTCTGAACAGCGAGTGAGTGTGAGCCGCCGTCTAAACAGCGAGCACCGCAACCAGACGTTTACGAGTGAGTGTGAGCCTCCGTCTGAACACCAGTGAGTGTGAGCCGCCGTCTGAACAGCGCCGAACACCGCCGACCACACGGCAACAGCGCCACCGGCATGGACAGGGTACAACATAGCACCACCGTCCACACAGGGAACAGCACCACCGGCACGGACAGGGTACAACATAACACCGCTGTCCACAGCAACATGGCACAGCGCTGCTGCTCAGACATGACGTATCGGTGCTGTCCAGACAGGACATACCGCTGCTGTGCAGACAAGGTGCAGTACCACTATCCAGACAGTGTACGACGCTGCTGTCCGGAAAGAACACGATATCACTGCCCAAATAGGCTACAGCACCGCTTCCAGACGGTACGCAACTGGGCCGACGTGTTCCAGCGCACGGAGAGTACAATATCACTGACCAGATAACGCACAGCATCAGGTGGGCTTTGCTTGGAGATGCGCCTTTCAGTCGGATAATGTAACGGGATTTCTGTTGGAACATCTATGGTAATCTTGCCAGTGTTAGCATACCCTGCTTCATTATCCTGGGCAACCCCCGCGTAGGCATTTTCGGTGTAAAGGAATATAGCAACCTGTTTTTGAGTCGATATTTGCCATTCATTTGTATCCGTCTGCGGCCCAAACAACTTGCGCTCACCCTCACCGGCACACCAGTGTCTGGCAGTGGATGCCTTCTCTGGCTGGGGCTGTGACATGTGCTGTGGGTGCCAGCCAGCCTGCCGGCGCGGTCGTGATGAGCCCTCACCGCTGACGCAGGCGTGATGGGGTCCGTCATCAAAATGGATGACAACGGCGACTCGGAGGGCAACTTCACCGTGCTGGCGCTCAGCGGCAACTGCAACATGACCATCCGCTACGTGAGGAGCCACAACTACACCCTCAGCTGCCACAACTGCATGAAGCCCTTCGGCCAGTTCTATCTCACCAACAAGTCGCTGCCGGTAAGTGCTAGTGCCGCAGGCACGAGTGCCGGTCCGGACAAGTGCCAAGTGCCAAGACAAGTGCCCAACGCTGGCTGGATCCAGGTGTGACCTCAGCACGGGTCGCACCACCTCGATCTCTCTCATGAAAACAGTTCTCGCTGAGACAGCTAAGTTATGGTTCACGTTGTTCGGAATCGCATTGTTCTGCTCTGCTTCACATTGAAAGGAATGAAAATATCAGGTGGAAGAAGCAGTTTGCTGAATGTCTAAATTCGAAACACTAGCCATGTGTCACAAGAAATAATGTTGCCTCCTGTGCCAGTGACATTATGCACTACGTAGCATATTACGCTTTGTACTGCATAAAGCTTATTTATGCCTCCGCCTGTTATGTCTTCATGCAAACAAACTTCCGAGACAAGGTGTCAAGATCGACATGACAGGCACTAAGTCTTTTTTCAATCCAGCCCGTCAGCCCACAGGTAATGGTCTGAGGGCGGCCGGGATGATAACCCATTCTGGCAGGCGCTGGTGTTCCTTTTCCAAAGCATCGATGCCCCGGTTGCCCCAACGCCGCAGCGTTAGGCAGGGGGAGGGATGAAGGAGGAGAAATCTCCAGTCAGTATCACTCCTCTGCTAATTGGAGCTGTATCTCCTCAGCCGCCCTAGGCTCCTCTTGCAGCGGCGTCCTCCTCTTCTCGCCCCTCCCCCTCTATCATTTGCCATGCAGATGAGGTCAGCCGCCGAAGACTGGCGATGGCCTCCCGGTGACCCTTGCTTTCCAGCCAGCCTTTGTCTCCCGTCCGGGCCAGCCTTTGTCTCCCGTCCGGACATGCCCTGGTGCCAGATGGTGTGCGGAGTGTCTATGCAAATATAAGCCTCGTCGCCTGGGTCACGTGATGCGTCCAAGAAAGACAGGGCCTCATACACGGCGGTCAGGCTTGTTCGGCAGCTCTGCGTGGGTCCGGTCTGTTGAACCATGCTTACCTGTTGGCCGAAAGGCTGCAAACAGAGGCGATGAGGTCCCAGCTGAGCTACGTGAAGGGTACATCCTTTCATAAAACGATTTGCTAGCGGTGGTTTGATGCCCGCCCATGCTCATGTCTGAGTTCCCTGTCTCGCCAAGTAAGGCGTAAGAGTCTGGGGTATCACTGGTAACGAACCCCTAATGCTCTGTGTCTCCCAATGCTCCAAACATACTTGCGGTGTCGGTATTTTCTGTTTCGCTATCCGATCGTCCTTCGGGGAAACAAGATGATGCCACAATAATGTGATTTATCCGCTTTCCACGAGCCTGCTATCGTGTGGGTGCATCGTGTGTGACCGATCTATATCGCATTAGCATGTTTTTGTTTCTCCCGCAAACTTATGTTTGGCTAAGGCTTTAAGGCTTCCCCTAATGTGATGTTCCTCCCGTCGGTTTAGTGTAATCCCTAGTATATGACCATGACGTAGATGTCGTTTTTGAGACAAACACCTCAACCATGTTTTAATCTTTTAGCTGCATTTCAAAGACATTTAGATTTGTTTTCATTCGTATCAGTGGTTGAGGTGAACGTCGTCCCCACTCATAATTTGGCCCGTCCAGCGGACAGCATGTCATGCTATTTACCCCGACCTTGCAGGCATGGCTATTTATAGCTCCGTTGCGAAACCTTGCAGCCGACGGAGAAGGGAGCTAGTTCTGCGCCATCCACGCCCGTTTTGGTTGTGTGTCGCGACGTCTGTTTCTGTCTGACCGGCCATCCATGCTGGCTGTGCCATGCCCAGCACGCAACAGCCCAGAACGGAACAGAACAGAACAGATCAGAGTAGACCCGACCAGAGCAAGTCGTTGCTGTACTGACCCGAACATTGTGCCCTACTGTCATGTTGTCATCCTGGTATGCTATCTGAATCATACCAGTCCTAGCTACCTTGCCCCGCCCTGCCCTGCCTCCATGTCCTGCCTCGCTCTTGTCTAATCTGACTTGATTTGACCTGACCTGGTTTGACCTGACCTCGTTTGGTATGGTTTGGTCCGGCCCGACCAGGTCTGATATAACAGGCCAGATAGATACGGCGGGGTTTGACGAAATCTGACAAGACCAGACCTGGTCTGACTAACCTGACCTGTCCTGACCTGACTTGACCCGACCGATTCAGACGTCGCTGAACCAGACTAGATGAGACAAGGCAAGACCAGGCCATATGATAACATATCTTACCTAACGTGGCCTGGTCTGACCTAGCTCAACCGGGCATGACCTGGGCTTGTCTGACTTGACCTGACCTGACCTGGCATTTTTGCAGGAGTTTCGACCCGACCACGGTCGCACGCCGCCCTGGGACGGCAGTGGGGTGCCCATTCAGGAGCCCGTGTGCGGCTACGACGGCATGAAGTGCTCCCGGATCGAAGACGGCAAGCGGCAGGTCTGTCTCCCCTCTGAGTTCTGACCGCGCCCTGCCGTCGCTCAGTTGTCCATCTGATTATCCTAAGGCTGCCGCATTATTATGTGACTGTGGTTACCGTCAAATTTCAGCACTCGCAGTGCCCTCTTCCAGCTTTGGCATAATGATGACGCCGCTGGCTGGGCACAGGCTGACGTGTTAGGCCCCTCAGCGAAGGCCCCGCGGCAAGCTGAAGATACGCAGCGTAGCTGGGATGTTCAGGATAGTCGATGGGCTTAACATGAGCTGTCCATATCTCTGCTTTAAACTGGTCAGGAGCAGTACCGTAGACGGCGTCCGACTTGCGTGACTGCCCGCGGTCAAGGGTGCCGGCGGCCTCTGGATCGAGCACAAATAGGCATTTTGTCATGAAAGCGATGCTACCGTGTTGCATGCAAACGGGGTTTCGAATTTAAACCGACGTGACCGTTCCGTTTGCTTGGCGCACATTGTGCAAAACAACCTGGGCGGGTTGTTCGAATTGGGCAAGCTTTGATCAGTCCTTGTCAAACAGAGTGACGTTTGATCACACTGTGAACTCGCGCGGGAAGAGACATTCTCAGTGTGGAGTAAATCTACCGCAGACCCTCAGGCGGTATACTGTGCGTGTTGTGGAGCGAACCCTACGTTTGCTGTTGTGGCATCGGTAGCAGTGTTATCGCTGCCGTGTAGTGGCTAGACAGACGTCTCCGGTGGCTCCGGTGGCAGTGGCTAGACAGACGTGTGGCTAGACAGACTCTCCGGTGGCTCCGGTGGTAGTGGCTAGACAGACGTCTCCGGTGGCTCCGGTGGCAGTGGCTAGACAGACGCTCCGGTGGCTCCGGTGGCAGTGGCTAGACAGACGGCTCCGGTGGCTCCGGTGGCAGTGGCTAGACAGACGTCTCCGGTGGCTCCGGTGGCAGTGGCTAGACAGACGGCTCCGGTGGCTCCGGTGGCAGTGGCTAGACAGACGGCTCCGGTGGCTCCGGTGGCAGTGGCTAGACAGACGTCTCCGGTGGCTCCGGTGGCAGTGGCTAGACAGACGTCTCCGGTGGCTCCGGTGGCAGTGGCTAGACAGGCGTCTCCGGTGGCTCCGGTGGCAGTGGCTAGACAGGCGTC